TACACTTTTTTGAGACATTTTGTATTTTTATAAATAATGTTCACTACCGTAAAGACGGAGCTAAGGCTTTTAAATTTGTAAATAGAAATGTGATGACCCCTTTTCTGAAGGGTACCAATCATTTTAAAGGAAAGGCTTTAAAATTTGACAAGTATGTTTCTAACGCTTTTATGAATTTTTATGCTTCTAATCAACGTTTGAGTATTGAACTTAAGAGACATCAAAAGCTGATGAAAAAATTGGTCAAAGACTGCCATAGCACTTTGGAATTTGGACAAGAGATTTAAAATATTTTGGTATTTTAGAACTAGAAGATGCTATTAATTTCCTAAAGATAGGAAAACATCCATGTCTGAGTAATATACATCCAGAGTTCATGAAACATCTAGGAAACAATGCTCAAATGTTCCTTCTGTCTATTTTTAATCATAGTTGGAACAGTTATATATCCACTATGTGGAAAAAAGCCATTATTATCCCTATTTTGAAAAAGGATTAAACTGCAGATAATATTGAAACCTATTGACTAGTATTTTGTCGAAGATTATGGAAAAGATGATAGTCTCTAGACTAACTTGGTTTCTGGAGAGTAACAGTCTTTTGTATCCTAAACAAGCTGAATTCAGACAATATCATTCCAGTGTCCAACAGGTATCTTATGTTCGTTAAGCCATTAAAGATTCTTTAGATAATCTCTTGTCTGTCCCGGCAACATTTATAGACTTTGAATCAGCTTATGATAAAGTATGGAGACTATGTACTATTCAGAAATTCCAGAACTTGTGAATAAATGGCAATATGTTTTTATGAATTAAGAATTTCGTATCACAGCATTTTTCTGCTGTTAGATATGGCTGTGACATTTTTAGATTTAAACAGACTGAAACTGGCCTTCCACAGGGAACAGTCATCAACCCAATTTTTTTTAATGTTTTTATTAATGATTTACCGAACACTCTGGCATTGTTGGTGGATTCTGCGCTTTTTGCTAACGATTTGGTTATCTCTAGTAGCACTTCTAAAAAGAAGCAGGATGGTTTAAATGTGACTCTTAGTAGTGTTCTGAAAGAGCTTGAGTATTGGTGTCTAAAAAATGATATGAGAGTAAATTAGGATAAGAGCACGTGCCAGTTCTTCACTCTCAACAGACAGCCCTTTACCCTGAAGTTGACATATAATGGTGTAGATGATCAGCATAATGATTTGACAAAATATTTGGGTTGCCTCCTTGATTCACGCTTGAAGTGGAGGAAACATGTGGAACATTTGAAAAAAAAAAAAAAAAAAAAAAAAAAAGTAAGTGAGTAGAGTCTCTGTCTTAAAACACCTGTCTGGTTCAAGGTGGGGCTATGACAGAGAGACATAAATGACTACTTACAAATTATACATTCAACCAGTTATTGGTCATTGTAGTGAAATCCTCATCACGGCTTCAGAGAATGTAGTCCAGATCCTCAAAGTCTTCCAGAACCAAGCATTATGCATAATTACTGGGGCAGTGAGATCTACTCCTATTCTTGCAATACAGCTTTTAAGTGGTTTGGAACCTGTTAATGATTGTATTAAGAGAAAAGTGATCTTATTATACCAGAAGCTGGTGTGTTTGCTTTACAACTCCTTTTGGAGAAACTATAATAAGGAAATTTCTAGAAATCATAAAACTCAAATTGGCTGTATCCAGGCTGCTCAGAGAGAATCTGACCCAAGATTATCTAATTTTACCTCCTCCCCATTGTCCCTTGGACTTTTTGAATTTGAATATAAATCTTGATCTTATCCAAAGAGTTGTTAAAAATGAAATGAAGGATTCACAATTAAGATATATTGCAATGCAAACTATTGGGGTTCATTATCCTCAAAATGAGTGGTTGCATGTTTACACTGACGGCTCTATGTTAGAGAAAATGCGCAGTGCGAAAGCATATATTCATAACGAGCTTTTTAGCTTCTACTTACCAATGGGCCCTCCTGTAAGGGCAGTCATATTGTCAGATTTCAAAAGTGAACTTAGAGATCTTCTGAATAATCAAAATATTTCCCAAAGAATTTTAAACTGTAGACCTGTGCTTAAGGCAATGGCGCACATAATCTCTTTCCAGTGGATTTCAGCCCACTGTGGAATTATGGGAAATGAAAAAGCTGATACATTGGCTAAGAAAGGAACTGTGATGATGCAACACATTAATTGACCATTTTATTTTCACACGACTAAATTGCTTGTTAACCTGACTTTTAAGAAAATTCTTAAGCAGGATATGATTCAACGTTCTATGGATAAGAGTTGGAGGATTCTGGGGGAAGAGATGACTTTTATTCCCAGTTTTCTAAGAAAGACAATGGTAGCTCTATTTAGACATCTGACCGGATATTATTGTTTGCGAGACCACCTCTACAGAATCGGAGTGGTGGATTCCCCAAACTGTATTTTACGTGACTCTAACCAGCCTATGATTTTTGAACATTTAAATAATTGTATTGCACTTTCTTGATATGAAGACATTGTTAAAAAGTACTGGAGAGCCCATGAACTAATGGTTTAAGCACTAATGTTTGGCATTTGTAAAATAAATAAATAAATGCTTAAAAAATCATCAGAGAATTGCGGAGACTCGGCTTCATGCAAACCTTGACAATGGTAGCTATCTAGGAAATGCATTTCCTCGTTGTCCCTTTTAGAAAATTTTGGTACTTACGTATTATCGCAACCAGGTTGGCACTATTTGTAAGTTTGAGTAAAAAAGTATGAATAGAAAGAAAATGTACATTTATTAATTACAGATAATTTTTAATACAGTTTTTTATATTATTTTGTTTTAAAATATAAAATAGCAATTAAACCCTTCCAGTTTCGAATTTCAATAAGTTGCAGAATTATTTTTTCGGTGGAAATCTTTTGGCTATTTCTTTTAGCACTGATTGAAAACCGTATTCGCCATAACCATGTATACATCAACTTATTTTTACTTAAAAAAACATCCCAGAATTGCACAAAAATGGCATTGTGCACACTCTTGACTTTATCCATGTACACTGCTATTTTCTTCTAAATTACAAAAATTTGCTCGAAAATGCAGGAAAATTTTGTGAATCTCCACATGCTCTTTTTACAAAACTACGTATAACATGTAGGGTTGCCGTAAGTAGGGTCGCCAAATTTCGCAATTTATGCGAATTTTGGCCTGGTTGCATTAATATGTAAGTACCAAAATTTTCAGCAAAATTCTGTATTCCTGGAGAAATTGTATTGCAGTTTCTTCTTTTACTGGAAATTTTCACTAACTCATATTTTAAAACCAAGGCAAAAAATGTCATGATTTTTTCTAAAAACCATTGGAACTTGGATACAATGAAAAAAAAAAAAAAAAAAATGCTTAAGAAAATGGTGATGTTGCTTGACTGAAGGATTGCTATGATCATGATTGCCAGAGTTTGGCACTTTCTGAAAATTTGGCAACTTTCTACTAAGGTAGATGCATTAAGACCTTAGTACACAATATTTCACAGTTTAAATAATTAGCTGTTGCTAGAAATTTTTCATCAGAAGCATTTGCTTTTTTTAAAAAAAATTCTGTATTGAAATCGTTCTAAAAATGTGTAAACACCCTGTGTATATATATTAAGTACATATACTGTGTGTATATAATTAAGGCATCACAATTCCACATAAGCATCATTTCGACATAATTAGCATCACTTCAAGACAGCACAACTTCAGTCAACAAATATGAAACTTACTTCAGACTAACTATAAAATTTATCAGAACTTACTTCAGACTAACTACTAACTTCAACAGATGAATAAACTTTAATAGACTTATGAACTGTGAACTTTCATGACTAGTGAACTATTTATGAATTATAAACTATTTATCAACTGTGAACTATTACAGTACAAAGTCCGTAATCCGGACTCGTTGGGACTTCGGCAATTCCTAATTAGAGGTTTTTCCGGATTATAGATCATCAATTTAAATCTGGTAAGATGGCATGCAGGAATTATACAATTAAAAATATGAAATCATAATTTATAAAATAAAGAGCAGTTATGATCTAAAGGGTATCAAAATTTACAGAAAGAAAAGCTTAATATTTATTTGCTTACTTTATTAAACATTTCTTTCAATGTAAATTGTTTAAGTTGCTTCGTGTTTTGTGCTAATACTTTCTCTTTAATTCTATAAACAGACATAATTTCTTGTTTAGTTACAAAGTTCTACTGTTCAAGTCCTGTAATTGCTGTGTCGAGAATACCGACTAACTTGTCAATCAAAATTTGTTTCGTTTTCAATAACCTCTCTGTTGCTTTGTTCACTATTGGAAGCGCACATGGGTAAACGCTTTACTGGCTAAATGCACATGCGTAAGTGTGGCTTTGATGTCTGGATTATAGATCATTCCGGATAATGGACGTCCGAATTACGGACTTTGTACTGTATTACATTTCAACAAATCATCAAAATCCTATTTTATTTATTATATGTATAACCAAAACTTTGTATCTAAATCTTTATTTGTATTCCACATTCTATGTATGTACCATAAAAAATTTCTGTTATTATTTATATGAATTCTTTCAATTTATGTCAAGTATATGCCAAAATTATGTATACATTAAAATCAAAATTTTTATTGTAATGTAAAATTTTAAATAAACGTGATCCCGCTGAGTGAACAATAAAGCTGAAAGTCTTCATGGCGGCACAGCTGCTCACCCAGTGGTCTCCTGTGTGTGTATATATATATATATATAGCAATGCAATTTAAAGATTTTTAAAAAAAAGAATGAATTTAAATTTTGAGTGTTGTAAAGAAGAATGATGAGTTTTAAATCACGAAATGAAATCTGTAGGAAAATGTGTGCATTAAATTAAGCTTATGTCAGTGCATCTGAAATAATAAAAAATAAGTGAGAATGTTAATCCAATTTATTAGTTCTGATTTCTTCAGATAATTTTCTAATATTTATATAGATATTACTAAAAACATAAATTTGCTTTCAGAGCCAATGTGAAAATTCCAGTTTTTGCAAATGGCAATATTCAGTACCTGTCAGATGTTCATAAGTGCTTTGAAGAGACAGGAGTTGATGGAGTTATGATTGCTGGTAAATATTCTTATTTATTCTATTGTAAAATAGCAGTGCAATAAATTAGTCTAATGAAGTATATTTTGTTTGTAGATAAGTTAAAAATAGTTACTTTTTTATCAAAAATAATAATTTTAGTAATATTTGATGAAAAGTATTTCTTAGTTATTTTTAAAAAATTCCTTTATGGATTAAACATTTTTACATTTAATAGATAATAACTGTGAAACATTGTCCAAAAAGTTTTTAATTAATTGAAATCATAAATTATATTAATAACATCTAGGAAGTTTTCAAGTATATTTTTTATGTAATAATTTCAGATTTTTGCTGCTATGAAGTGTAACTTTATAGAATTCTGGAAAGATATCCTATAACTGTGTAAAAAATTCGAATGGCTTAATTTTATGTTATGTTTAATAAACATAATTTATCTGTGAAGCATTGCATGGAACAATTTCTTTAATATTAAATTGAGGTGCTGATAATAATTGTATGGTACTTTTTGATTAGTGAAATAAAACTCTTTATAGTACGGCAGTACAAAACTTAATTATAGGGTAATACAATCGTACACATCATATGCTAGGCTAGGTTTAATACGATCTTCCTAACCCTCTACCTGCACAGTTACTTAGAGTGCTCAAATATTATTAATGGATAGATACATAGCTCAACTGTTCAGAGTTGCTTGAGCAACATGCTGTTGTAAGTCCTTGATGAAGGACCTCTAGCATACTGATTTCCTGCATTATGTGATGCTCTTCAAGGTTGCCTAAAGCAATTTTGATCGTCATGTTCTCAACATATTGTACCAAACACATATTGTAATTAACAACACCACACCATACAGCAAACACCACACTACATATTGTAAGGAAAATTCAAATCAGCTTTGAAACCAGTATGCAAATACAATCTCTTAAAGTGTGCATTTATTTTTCTAATAAATCCTGTATATATATATATATATACACACACACACTGGCTAATGAATTAGAAACTTTTTAGATTTTTATTTGAATGTGTGCTAGGGATGAAGTATGCAAAAATTTTTTTTATGACATGGTTAGAATGTTATTATAAGTAAGGTGTAAGAGTGCTTTTCATGATGAATGATGTAAAACGGAAAAACTGACAGATCTTTCACCATCTGAAAAAGGGCTTATTTTTGGTGCCTAGCAGGGGCCTCAAAGACAGCAAATCTCACTAGGTTCTCAAAAGCAGCCATATCAAAGGTTTTCAAAAGTTGGAATCAGAACCCACAGCCATTATAGCAGACGTAACTGCAGTTCGTGCACAGTTTTCCAAGTGAGTGATCGAAAGCATCTCCGATGAATTGTATGGCAGAACAGTGACTCTAACTGTGCTTCAGCTGACACAGATCGTCAACCAAGGCTCTTCGCAACAGATTTCAGCTCAAATCCTGTGAAGAGAATTGCAGAGGAATGCATAGTCAGGTGCCTGTGAGAAAAATCTTTCATTTCTGCTCGACGTACAAGAATTCGTTTGCAGTCGTGTTGGGAAAGAAGACACTGGACATCTGAGGATTGGAAATAGGTAATGTGGCCAGATGAATCACACTGCAGCTTATTTTGCAGTGATAGAAAATGGTGAATTTGGCAGGAACTCTATGAAGTCATGTATCCATCTTGCCTTACTTGTACTGTGCAAGGGTCTGGTAAAAGTATCATTACATGGGGGCATGTTCTGCTGGCATGGAAGTGGTGCCCTGGTGTTCCTCGAGGGTAAGCAAACAGCCATGAGATACCTAGATATACTGGCAGATCAAGTGCACCCTGTAATGTTGCATTTTTACCCTGATGACAGTGGATACTTCATGGACGATAATGCAACTATACATCATGACAGAAGTGTTCAATATTGGTTCACTGAACATCAGTCTGACTTCCAACACCTTCCCTGGCCACCACATAGCCCAGATCTTAATCTTTCTTAAGAAAATGTGTGGGATATGATGGAAAGACACATCCAACAGCACTTTCCTCTTCCATCTAATTTACAAGATCTAAAAAGCTACATAGCCAATCCAGGGTATTTTCTAGACATAAATTCACTCCCGAAGCATGTAGACTCGATGCTGAAGCGATTCAGACCCATTATCCATGCGAAAGGTGATCCAATAAAATATTGATCTTGAGTTTTTAATTCATTATCCAGTGTATGTGTGTATATCCTTACTAATATTATAATTGTGAATGTGAATTTGTTTGTTTGTTTGTTTGTTACACTTTCACACCTTAATTACTTAACCGATCATCTTGAAATTTTCAAGGTTATAGGTTATAAAATGTCTTCGTATGGCTTTAATTAGCCGAAATGTTAATTAGAAACTACTTTTTGTCTACCTTTTTCACTTACTTTGTTGGGTTTTTCCCTATTAAAGGGATTTGGCTACATGCCAATTTATATTTTCACATATATCAATGGAATGGTGGTTAGTTGAATTTCGAGACACATATTCACTGATTCCAAAAATTTGTCAGAATCCATCGATACCATTCTCATCTTCGTACGACTTTAATCACCTGAGATATTAATTAAAAACTCTGAAAACACTAATTTAAAGCAACTCAATAGCGGCATTAGGGATTTTTTCTTGAGTCTTCCCGTGTGGGTACAGTAATTTGGTGATAAAAATCTTTTGATCTAATTATCCAAATTTCTCGAAATTTAGAAACTTGTGCTGCTCTCTAAATGATAGGAACAATGGTGGTGTAACTGTTTTTGGTCGCTTAATTATTTCCAGCTTAATCACAGATGAAACAATATATTCCGCTTGCTATTGTTAATGCTTTGTTGACAGGCTGTGATTCGAAAGCAATGGAGGGGGGAGCTGGTATTCGATTGACTGTAGGGTTGGCGAAAAGGTCAAAGTTCACAAATTTACATGTAGAAAATCATTTTAAAATTAATAACTTCTAATTAACGTACTTGAAACTATTTTCAACATTTCAACTTTTGTGATATATTTAATGTTTTGTTTCCTATTTTTTTAAAGGTCTATTCATTCGTGCTATATATTTCTGTTATTGTTGCTTGAAAAATTGCATTTACATTTTATATTCTTTACATTTTACTGTGTGTGATAAAAAAAATTTGTTTTGTCATTTTAATGTGCTCTAATGTTCTTTATTTTGAAATTTGATGCGGAGTGTATTTTTAAAATTCATGCGGAGTTGAAACTTATTTAAGGACATCAATGCGAGAGAAACCGCGGGTAAAGCTAGTATATATATATGTACAGAATATAAAGCTGTTTATGAAAAATAAAATAAAAGGGAAATTTTAAGAACTTATTTCTGTTTTGAAACTCATTTAACATGATAGAACTTTGCATAAGAATTTGCTTCGTATAAACTGGAAATATTGAGAAAATTATTTTATCATGAGTAGCGTATATATCACTGTGGCATTAGTATAGGCTTTTAGAAGCGTACACTTTCATTGGTGTAGGCTTTTATCAGTGTGCACTTTCATCTGTGTTGATTTTATTAATGCGAGTAATCATGACTGTGAAGTTTCTTCTGTGAACTTTTTCTAGTCATCCTTTTTAAAATACCTGGTACAGAATCTCTTAACATTTTTCTTTCTTCCCCCTTTTTGTGGGCTTTAGTTTTATTTATTTTACTTTTAATTTTTAGAAATAATTATTACTTTATAAAGTTTGATATATTATTTTATTGCCAATTATGATGTTAACGTCACCAATCATTTATTATCATGCTGTATGTATAGAATTTTTTCTAAATCTCAATCTTAATGCAGCTGATGAGAGTACTATACTAAATCCATTTTTACTGCAATGAAACCTCTGTAATGTTATTTTTCTGTTGCAAAAATGTAGTCATTAAAATGAACATCTATTATTATATTAATTTCAATAAATTTGTGTTACAGAAGGCAGTCTTCACAATCCAGCCTTATTCCAAGGTGCTAACCCTTTTATTTGGGACATGGCCATGGAATATTTAGAACTTGTAAAGCAATATCCTTGCCCTATGTCATATGTACGTGGGCATATGTTTAAACTTTGCCATCACTGGTATGTAAAATTTTTATTATCCCTATTTTCAATGTATGAAAGCAGTTTGTTTTAGTATTATATTTTGTTAAAGTTTATTGGATTTATAGAAGTTTTGAAATTTGATTATAAAATAATATCTAAATTTAGTTATAGAATAACATGTGACTGTTTGCCATAATATGTTATTTCTTGTGCAACAGAACTGGAAAAAAATATTCATCTTTGATTAAGCATGTGTTGTAAGCGAGAGATTTTTCATAACCATCATAACATTCATACTTAATCTGGGCCTTTTCACCAAGCATTATCTTGTGGTCAATCTAAATAAGAAACATCATTAGGAAAAGTATTCTTGTATCAACATCCTTTAATTCAGAACCCATAGCAAAGTATACTGTCGTGTCATAAAATCACTCTCATAAAGTGGAGATGCTGGGAAAGTCATCACTCCAGTTTTATTCTGATGCTGCTAATGGTAATCATGGCTGATAAGGAGTTAAAAACAGGCTCTACTAACACATTTAGGTAAATCAGGAGGAATTCTGTGCTTTGCTTCTAGAAGATGTTCCCAATCTGTTCAGTCAGGAATATACTTACTTACAATAGAAGTGCCTTAGTAGATTGAATTTAGACTTGCTGACTACATTACAGTTTTTCAGGAAGAGGAAAATTTGGTTGGGGTAATAATAAGACTGATTTATTAAGCTTTTCAAAGAATTATTGCCTCACAATAGTTTTGAAATGTACTGTTAGAATAGTCTTCTTTTTATTATCAATTTTATAAAAAGTGCCTCGGCTGTTAAAGAGGAATTATGTATTTTCACCAAGACCTGAGTGGAAGTCTGGGAATCAATAAAGATCACTTTTTCTTCTGAATTTGTGTTCAAAGCCTCAGTAACAAGGAAAACTGCAAAAATTTACCTGTTTAAACCATTGAGGGTATGCATTATATTACTTTTCCACAAGTATGTCAAGTGAATAGAACTGAGAGGAAATTTCAGCACCTGCATTTCCTGTATTGGCATCCAAAAATCTACAATGTAAATATGTTGCCATTCAGAAAGTGGTTGTCTCTCATATCTAGTTGTCATTACAAAAGATTCCTACTCTGTTTCAGAATAAATTTTCTTTTGTGTAACAACAAATTTAAAATTTGCTCTAGTAATTTTTAAAAAAAGATTTGCAACAAGTTTGTTGATAAAATGCCTTTTTGTTAGTATCTTGCATTTGAAGTCTAACATTGATATCATTTGTACAGTTTAGAAAAATGTGTTTTTAACCTGTTCACAGCAAATTTATTGTTATTGTAACAATGATAATGTTTTCTGAATAGTTTTTCTTTAGAATTAAAACTGCAGTCTCTCTGCTATAAAACAATGATTCAGTAATGGTTTTCAGTTCCATTGATTGCATCAGAATACATTTTGCTGCTTCAGTGATTCAGAATCTATAACCAAGAATTCAGACTTATAATCTAATAAGTCTGACTTATGTGCATGAATCAAAATTCTTGTAATGCTCTCCATCCAATTTCAGTAAGTCTTTTCAGGAATTTTGTTCTTTCTAATGCAAACTCTTGTTTTTCACAACTAGTTTTGGGTTTTAAATTATCCTCAAGTATGTGGAATTTTTAATAATTGACAGAGCTTGACTTTTATAATGAAGGCATGTTCCTTTTGATACTCACAGTGAAAAGCTGAAAGGTAGTGTTCTCAACACTTTCTGTCATTTCATTTTCATCTGACTGCTCAGCAAGCTTGAAGTACATTACATAAGGAGTCTTTCAAGTTTTTAATGTACAACCTCAAGCATCTGCATTATGCAGATGGCCTGGTAATCTGTAGATCAAATCCTATCATCTACATAAAGCAGTACTTGGTCATTTTGACAATTATATGTTCTGCCAATAGTAGCACTTTTCATGCTAAAATATATATATAAAGATTTAAAATAGAGTCTCAGACACTGTCTTGTTTAAAGGAAATTTGACTTTACATTTTCATACTTGATCCTTCTGAATCTTTGACTAAGAAATGATTTAGTCTACTTAAAGCTATATCAAGAGATACTCATTTCAGCTATTTTAACAATGACATTCTTTTCCAAATTTTATTAAAGACAGATTTAAAATCAACAAAGATGTCCAATTTTTTGTTGATTTTAAATTTACTTTTGATCATTTTAGATGAAAACCATCCTTGCAGTTTGCTGACTGAAAGTTGATAAATAACTAATCTGTCAACTGTGGCTAAAAATGTTGTATCAGTTAATTTGTCTGAATTCAAGGGCAGATCCATAGTTCATTTTCTTTGGGATCAGCAGAAGTTGTATCTGGAATTCTCAAAGGTACGAGGCAAATACAGGGGTTTATAATTAAACTGACCCTATTCAGACCACTCTAGAACCCGTTCTACTTATTGAATTTTGATGAAATTTGGTATATATGTTATATAGACTATGGGCAAATGATTTCCGCAATAATAATAATAATAATTAAAAAATCGTTCAAATTTTGACCACCAGGGGAATTGTGGCGCCTAAAGAAAGACCCCAAAAATCTGTCAGAATCATTAAAATTTATTCAATTACAGAATGTGCTCAATGTGTACTCCATTGACATCAATTACGTGTTGAAAGCTCATTATAGCATGTTCAATGGTAGTGTGAAGTAACTCTCAAGGGATTTCAGCAAGATGGCGTGTAATGCTTGCTTTCAACTGAGGTAAAGTCCTAATTCCTCCTCCATAAACACAGTCTTTTAGCAATCTCCACAACCAGAAATCACAGGGATTGAAGTCGGGTGAAGAGGAGGCCAGGCATCCGGAAAAGCTCTGGATATTACGTGATTCTTGCCAAAGTTAGCACGAAGCAGTTCTTTGACTTCACGCCCAGTGTGGGGAGTTGCTCCATCTTGCATGAAGACAGTGGTCTGATAAAACAGTTTTACCACTAAAGCTCGATCTTTCTTCTGTAAGGGCATGATTAATGATGACAAAGGCATTCAGAATGATTTTCGGGCTCTGGCTGCAAGTCTCTTTATAGTTTTGACTAATTTGCATAAGGAATTTTTGAAAATTGTCATCTGGTGGTCAAAATTTGAACTATTTTTTTATTGCAGAAAACTTTTCCCGATAATCCATATAAAGTATATACCAAGTTACATCAAAATCCCATAAGCAGAACGGGTTCTACAGGTGTCTGAATAGGGTCACTTTAATTATAACCACCCTGTATAATGAGTACCTGAACCCCAGCAACATCTCCAGTTGTTGCACTCTTCAGTTTTGCTAAAGAAGTCCAAGCAGTTATCTTTAGGTAGTCCAGTCTGTCCTGTGAGCCCAGAAAACATTTACGGAAGAGTGTATAATGAAATCAGTATCATAATTGTTGATATGTTTCAAGCAACTTAGTTCATATGTTTAAAAACAGATAAGATATTTATTTTTGCAATGTACATGTTTGTTGAGGGGCTGTCTCTTATTTTTTTATCTTCCCTTGGAGCATTATTTTGTAACATTAAAATTTGATGTTTGACAGAAATAGATTGATTATGTCATTAAAAATTAATAGTTAATAATATAAAACAACTTTTGTAAATCTAAGCCATCTGCAGAAGAAAGTACTCATGCATAATTTTTATTTCATTTAAAAAGCAGAATATTTAAAGTGAAGAGACTTGTGAAAAATAACTTGCTTATATTAATTCACTGATACATATATAAAGAGGCAGACTTGTGAGCCCATGCAAATCACTGCTCTGAGGAGATCCAAATTATTAATTAACTTAAAAAAATAGTAAGCATAAGTTGTGTCCTAAAACAAAAGGCTGCCATTGCATATATATTTATTTAAAACAGATTTAATTGAAATAAAATATTTTAAAGCTAAGGTATAACAATCATACCCAAATTGCAACACCAAGAAAGACAAGAGATATCACAACAAAATTTATTTAGTAGATAACATGTTGACCAAGTATCAAATGATTAAATTTATAGACTTCTGTGAATTTAGTTCCTTCCAGAATCAGTAGCCAGAGTAGCCGCCATTGTTGGACACTGAGGTGGATACGATTGAACACGTCGGTCCATCGTACCCTTCTGCATTCAATGGTCACATATCGGCATTACAGTTGTTCGGTTTCGTCCAACACGACTACTGATTTCCCTGAAAAATAATCCACACTCTCGGTAGGCCACTATCCTTCCTCTGTAGAACTCGGATACTTGATCGAACAATGATCGCTGTTTACTACGAGGCATAATTAATCATTCCACAAGAAAAACTTGAAATCGTCAAAAACTTGAAACTTGAAATTGTCGAAAACTCCAAGCCTTAAATAGTGCTTTGAAGTGGCGCCACAGGCGCACGTAATGTGTGTCTGCACTGAAATTCTAATCATTTGCATATCTCACCTCCGCTAATACATGTTGTAAATTTCATGTTATTTGCATGCTTCCTTCAGGGTGTTGCATTTATGGTGGCCAGCTGTGTATATTCGGTGCGTTAGTCGGTACCCATAATGTGAAACTCTTCCCATTTCATGGATAAATTGATTCACATGTTTCAAACAAATTAGATACTTTTTGTAAAATTTTAATTTAGCTAATTCTATTTAAATTTTAGCAAAGAAACCTTTGGTTAGTTTAAAGATGCTTAGATTAATTGATATTTACCTAAAATAAGAAGATATTATATTTCTTGTTATAAAATAAATTAAGAATGAAAGATGTGAAATGTTTATATGCTTTATTTATTTATTTTTTTTTTTCCTGGATCAGCCTCGTTATGGAAGAAAACAAAGAAATACGTCAAAAATTTGCTGTTGCCAGTAATATTGAGGAATTTTCATCTGCTGTTTTAGAGTTAAAGAATAAATATGAAGTAAGGTAATTTATGTTATTTTTTAGAAGATGTTTTTAAACTTAACATTTTACAAAGAAAGAGGTCGACACAAAAAACATCTTCTCTGCAACATGGATTTTTTAAAGGAAAAAACACTTGCAAAATCTTATGCAAAATAAACCAGAATAACTATTATTTTTATAATTAAAAATTATTATGAAAAATATAAATGTTGCTTGAAGCATAAAAAAAGGACAGTAAAAGTTATAACTATCAGTCATACGATTCTGTTCTTGAAAGGAATATCATCTTATTCATAATATTCTTGTGCACATTCATGATATAATTTTTTTGTACATTCCAAACAGATTGGTATTTTACAGCTTATACATAAATTTTTCAGTTTTTACATTGGAAGCCACAGACGGCATATTTTCATTGAATACAATTTTGTTAATTCAGAGCTTGGCATGATATCCTGTGATTCCACTTAGTTTCCTAAAATGCACTTCATATCATCCACAATTAGCGCTGTATTCTTGGATTTCTAACTCTTTTGCAAATTTTAGGAAGGACAAAATCTCTTACTACTGTTACTTTTAAAACTGTATTCTTATCATAACTGAGTTTTGAGAATAACTTTGATACAAAATATATGAGTTTATTGTGCTCAGGTCTTATAATTTTGTCATATTCTTAAAATTAACTTTACCTTGCTTGCTAGATCTTTACTTGAACTGTGAAGCGACTATCCCTATGTTCAATTTGTATCAATGACAAGACGTAAGAAGAGGGAAAATACCCTTTTATTCAAGTCAAAGAAATCTACAGATGGCACTCCTGGTGCTTACAAATTTATACTTTTCGCTGCAACTCAAAATAAAAAGGTTAAAAAATAAATAAATAAATAAATAAATAAAAAAAAAAATGTTTCAGATTTTTAAATTACATTCAAAGGGGCTTTTTTAAAAATATTTTGAGCATTACCTTTATATATTAAATATCACGTTCTTCGCACCAAAACCATAAAATTCAGTTCAACAGCAATATCGCAAAATAATTTTAAAATGAGCATATCTTGAGAGTTTCCTATACACAGTTCCGTGTGCTGGAGATAAAAAAGTGTTCCCCCCCCCATAGAGTGTTGCCATTGCTCCCTTTTAAATCATTGAGTTTGTTAATCAAAAATTCGTTAAAGTTTTACAAAATATGAAATCGATAATAAAACAAATTTCAAATTTTGGCTTTCAGATGCTCATATTCGCTGTAGGATTACATCATTCAAAATTGGATAGCTTTAGGTACCGTTGTTTTACCACAATGTGAAAAACGTATACAATTATGCAGATTCTTCATTACGTAATTTCTTCAAACATAATACAGGGCGATAGTATTTGGTGGCAACGATTTGAAAAGTGATATAGCCTTTTAAAGTTTTCAACACAAAATCACGAAACGAAAACAATAGTCCTTCAGGGACCCTTTGGACTAAAAATTAAAATTAAGTTAAATAATCAGCCAAAGCTGCACAAAGATAATCAATGAGAGTTGGGTCTTAGCAAAACCACTAATGTACACAAACCAGCAATTAATATGCACAGCTGTAGTCAAGTTTAAATCGGCAAAAACAATGTGGCCAAATGGCAGAACAGGGCTGTGTCTGAAGTAACTCGGACATGAGCTTAAATAGTGTCTTTCTACCTTGCTTTACATAACACGCAAAAGTGAAATATCATTTTGGCAGGAAATGGAAATAAGGGAAGATAGAAAAGATAAGTAACTGAACAAAACTGGCTGGTCTAAAACTAAATGATTCTTTACAATCTATAAATAGCAGCCATAGGCCAACACATTGTTTTTCTTTTGCAGAAATATGCAGAGCATTTTTTATCCAGTGAAGCGACTTCAGTTTTAGTTCTGTTGTAAAGAGCAATTATTAGTTGCCTAACCGGTACAGTGGTTAGCGTCGCTGACTCCCGTGCCGAAGGGCCTGGGTTCGAATCCTGGAGAAGAGATGGGTGTTTGCAAATGTAATAGTGTCAGTGCAGCATGGTGGCACTGTAAATATGCGGTGAGTCTCTCGTGTGGTTTGGTGGAAGGGGAGAGGGATGGGAGACCCTTGGACCCATCTCCCTCGTGCTCTGTATCAAAATTGGGGAGCAGAACTGAGCTAAATCACACTGTCTCCTGTAAAGTGCTATTGCCAACGACAGGCCTATCTTGTACTCCTTTACACGAGGTATATCTTCTGCTTGGGCTGATATTGCATGTCAGATAAGTGAGCATAAGTAACAACAAAGCAATTATTTCTGGCTTTAGCTTTCAAAGTCAGTTTCTTTGGAATGATGCACGGACGGCATGAGAACAACAGCTTTCCATTTTTTCGGTACATGAGATATCAATATAAAATCCTTTGTAAGCCATATAATGTCAACTTTTCTTCTCTTCATTTATTTGGAAAGAACTTTTTGTGAATGTCTCTCTCTCTCTTTTTCTTTTTTTAATTGAGAAGATAGCATATGTCAATCCATTTCTCTTTAATTTTGAGATAAGTTCAATAGAAGAGAACCAATTATCTGCCGTTATGTTTCTGTTTGTCTTGTACATTGGTTTACTCAACCGTAAAACAGTTTGAGTTTGTTGAATTTTTACAAACTATCTTCCATGCCAGTACTATCAGAATATTTTCTGCAATATAAAAATAATCATTGTATAACTAGTTAGTTTTACACATTGATTAGGCACATGACTTTCAATTTAAATTTCATTGGTTTTTGTGGCATATTACAAGCGCCATCTGCCTCTGAAGCTAATAAGCATTTCATCCTTACAAACACAAATGCCTCTAGTATAAGCTTTCTGACAGTTCAAAATAAATGAATTCTGACAGTTCACTTTGGAAATATGAGCTGCAGAATCCGATTTTTTCAGAAACTCTATATTATTAGGGTTATCAAATCACAAATTTAGAAGTTAGAATTTAAATCATTTGATTGATATAATTGCATGACAAATGTCATGACCAATCCCATCCATTGCAGAAAATATTCATTATCTTCATGGTTAACTTTAAAGATGGATGTATATATAAGCAAATCTGAAAAAGCTCTCAATTCTTTGATGTTTATGTTTGCAATTTCACTTTTCAATGTATCAGAAAATGTATATCTAATTTTTTTCTGTTTTCACTTTTGTCCATTTCATGATAATCTATAATATTTCATATGTGGAAAGGAGTTCCCAAAATGCTTTTTGGGATCTGCATTTTCACCCAATTGTCTATATACTCTTAATCCTGGAAGATGAGCTGTATTATGCACGGAAAGAGAACTGAGAAGGAGGTGTGGTCTGATATATGACTCTCAGGCAAAAGACTAGAATTTTAAAATGATGCAGGTGCAAAAAATTTTAGCCAGTGGGTAAGAATTAACAAGGTCACAAAATGAGAAGCTAATTGAAGAATCCACTCAATCAGACTAAATATAGATTAGGGCTGTTAGGAGCAACATCTTTAGTGGTATCTGATACCACATCTCCTCAGTTACAGATTAAAATATGTTTAAAAAACAAAACTGTTTCTTGCTAAGAAGTTGGATATAAGAAGTCTAAAGATTGCATGCCACTTGTGAGCTGTAGTTAAGGGATCAAAGAGCCAGATGTGGCTTGTGAGCTGCAGTTTGGCCATGTCTGTTACATTAGAACAGAAATACATTCTTGACCTTTTTTTTCGGATTCCTGTATCTTATTCTGGTATTGTGATTTCAAAAAGCAAATGTCTTTTTATTAATAAACAAAAATTTAAAAATAAAAATATGGCACAGTTGAAATCACAATATATATACATAAATGTAGTAGTTTAATTGTGTAGGAGGAATCCGGTATCTTGAGTAGCTTGCAGTCATAATTGCTGAGAGTTGAGTATGTACAGACGAAGATAACAAAGCTAGATTTTTACAAATCACCAATCTTTATTTTTGCACATATCAAATAATTTCTTAGTAGATAAGATAGTTTTTAGATCATAAGCAATTACAATAGTTTTATATACACAGGTAAAAGAATATGTCATTTCAGGCAAGTGGGCGTAGCAGTGTGCAGATGTTGGAAGGTGAAAGCTAGGAAAAGGAATGATATCATTGTTTTGCAAAGCTGTATGTATACTGAGTAGATGCATAAGTATATCTAAGCTGATATTGGTTAACCGTTTGACTGCTATGTGGCGCTTTGCGGCATGTTCATTTGTCTTGAATACCATGACACAGTTAGTTATTTTAGAATGCACTTGAGTTACAAAGTACGCGTGAGGTCAGACTACATTCACACCCACAAGAAGCAACAAAGACACACTGAAACTCGCAATACATTCAAGGGAAAAAAGTGTAAAACATAACTTGATTAATATTAAAAAGCAACTGAAATTTTCTCTGAAATAAGATCAAGTATTGCAGATTGGATTTAAAAACTGCTGGATTGTCTTCTGTTGAACTGCACGATGTCAGAATTCAGAAAATCATTAAAATTTCTAATTTGCACATTAAATTTGAAATACAAAATACTCAAATACAGTGCTGAATTCAGTTCCATTGATTTGCAATTTCCACTGCATATGCTTTTTGCCATGAATAGGGGAGGGATGAAGCATATTACCAGAATGTTTTGCAAAGATTATTTCAAATTTTTTTACTTTAGCCAAATCAGAAGAGAAACATGAAAAGTGAAACTTTAAATTAGTAAAGAAACAACCTTATATTTGGTTTAGATTTAGAAAAAAAAAAAAAAAAATTATGAGCAAACAGGTCCCTCTTCATCAGGAGCAAAGAAATTTGCAAGAGTGGAAAGTAGCAGGCATAATGGTTCATCTTCTTAAAGATCCCATGTCTGACATAGAGTCTTGAGGAATTTATAACATTTCATGTTGGTGTGGTTTGAGAGATATTGGCCGAACTAAAAGTTTTATATCAGAGAACATGAATCTTATGTCTGAAAATTCGAAGTTAACAAGTCTTCGATAGCTGATCGTAGTTGAGAATGTAATAATAATTTTGATTTTGGGTCTAAAAAAATTATCCAAAATGCCTCTTCCATTGGTGAATTAGATTTTCTTGAAGCTTTTCACATTCACAAAGATTTAGCTTGTTTAAGTAATGACTTTATGTCCAATCCAGTCCTTCCTAATGCTTTTAAAATTCTATTAACTTAATTTTTAAATTTTCATTGCTAATTTTGCTGACAGGTAGTGCTACCTGTTGGCTTTACTGTAGTAGGGTATATAATAGGACCATCATGCCTGCTGCTTCCCAGTTTTGCAAATTTCTTTTCTCCTGAGAAGACCTGTTTGCCCTCGAAATCGATTGAGTTTTTTGTCTAAATTTATGCCTAATATGAGGTTGTTTTTTTCTTGAGCTTCCAAACATTTTGAAGTGCAGTCAAATTTAGTGACAAACAGATAAGTGTAATCAATATGCAGCATAATTTATAGCCAAGGTCCCACAGACAAACAATATTTCTTGTTCTGTTTATGTTATTTAAAAATTGCAATGGTTATTAATCACTATATGAGAACTTATTCAAGCACGTAAAAGTAAAATAGTTACAATATTTACTCACATATTAAAAGTATACCGAATATACAAGGTGTTCCCATAAAGTAACTGTTTCTTATAAACAAGGAAAGGATTACTAACCTTCAAATAAATTTATCTTTTTCAAAACAACGACTAGAGGAAAGTGCACATTTTTCCCAATGCTTTTTCAGGTCATCGAAACACTGGTTATAAGCATTGCAGCTACCTGTTTGCAAAATATGTGTAATATTTAATTTTATATCCGAGATGTTTTCAAATCTCTATCCTTTCATGATCTTAAGTATTTTAGTAATATAGCAGTATCAATGAACAAATATATCACATGCTATCATTTTTCTTTAATGGTCCTCAAGAGCCTTGTATAAGATAAATCTACGATGCTAATTGCTGACTGCCATCATCAATAATCATCTTAAAATTGCATCGACAGAAGACAAAAGTTGTCTAGAACCACATGCATTCCTTTTAGAGAAAGTTCATTGTGTATACAGACTTCCAATGGGGGGGAATAGTGAATAATCATGAATACTGCAAGCAAATACACAATAAACAAATAAAAATTGGTGTATGCAAGTATGTATATAAATTTTAAGGGTATGTTTAAGTTGCAATTTTTGCTTTTCTGTCATTGAATAAGGTAAGATGATTTTGCTATTTTAAACTAATTTTTTTCTGTTATGTTATTTATAATGCTGGTATTTCTTTAAATGATTTGATTTTTTTTTCCATGTTTATAGAAACAGTCAACTGATGGTAGCTCTTTAAACCTCATTAATGAAAGTAACCTTCCTTTTCCACCATGGATATGTCAACCTTATGTGAGACCTCCGTAAGTATATAAATTAATGTTATCTTGAATAAAATTTTTGATAAAATTGTCTTGTTTTTGTATCTTGTGAATTTCGTAGTCTGAATAAAAATAAGAGAAATGCAAGCTTAAATATAAGACGAATTTAACATTTTTTTTTACTCCCCCTTCCAAATTAAATTTTTTTCTAAACAGTATTAATTTTACTTGATGTAAAGATGTTTTTTATTTGATATATTATTTAAATAAGAAATTACTATTATTAAATATGAAAATATTATTTTTATTTTGTGAGCACTTGAAATGTAATATAAATTAAAGCCAAAATGTTTTGGTACAGGAATCTTAAATACAGTGGAGTCTTGTTCTGTTGATCTTTGATGAGAGGGAGGGAAATGAATATGAAAAAAAAAAAATTAATCCAGGAAACTATTACACATTGTAAACAAATAACATATTATACTTAAGCAGCATTTATTGCTTTGAATATTCTATAATAAAAATCCACCACTTTTAAACAAGCAAAAACAAAAACAAAAAACAAGAAAACCTCCTGTGTTATCTTTTGCTTCTTGATTGAATTTTGCATCATTTGAAATGATAACTTTTTAAGGCTAAATGCTTTCGTGGTCTGTTTGTTGTATACAAAATAGTATACATTGAAAAGTGCTAAATTTTTTTAATAAGTTTTGTTGAAGTTGCAATTTTAAAACTATATCTTTCTAAGAAAATTATTCATTCTTTCTAAGTAAATTATTCATTTATCACTAATTAAATTTTGTTTTTCTACTATGTCAAATTAAAAAAGAAGAGTGTTTTTCTGTGAATGGTAAGAAAAAGTGTAATACAATAAGTGTTCCTGTTTTGGTCAAGACATTGAAATCGCAGTTTATAAAAATTCAATCAGAACTGAGTTTTTTTTCAGGTAAATTATGCATGTATTGACATGATTATATTCAGAGTTTATCATGAATGACTATCATTGGGCTCAGTTCCAAAGGAATTGGTTGGCTGCATGAGCATTTTCATCATTTTCCCCCATGTGTAACATGCATATGAGCCAGTTTCCCTTAGAAAGTCCTCCAGATAGGTATGCTTTCCCATAGGCAGATATACCCAAAAAATTAAAAAAAAAAAATTAAAAAAATGTCTTGTAGTTAACAAATCTAAATGGCAATTAGTGTCTTGATCTTCCCTGGAAGTACCAACCAAAGGCTTCCTTGATATTTTTTTTTTTTTTCTTCTTCTTCATCAGCTCACTCTTTGTTCAGCATTGTTGCTTCAGCTTCTCAGCTTCAACTCCCTCCTCTCTGGCGAAGAATCCATTTCTTCAGTTTTAGGCAAATGTATTGCCTTTCTGTCCAGGGAAAAACAGTGGGGTCTTAGCAAGGATATCTAAAAGCAGTTTCCAGTCTTGGTGAAATTTGTTCCTTCTTAACACCATGTTCTGGGGTATGTCATGTAAGCCTTCACTTCAACAGCCCAGATGGTAAACACATTCCTGTTCCAGGCCTCTCTGTCAGTTCCTTTTTTCAACGATCACAAGCTGGTATCCACATTCCTTTCTATATCCTCGCAAAATCATCCAAGAATAAAGGTCTCCTAATTACTAAGCCAAGCATCACAAAAGTGTTGAAGGTATGCGTGGTTCATTTGTTTACTATTGCAACTTCGCTAATTCGAGACAAGCAGATGAATAAAACAGAATTAAAGTTCTTACCTTAATAAAGCGTAATCTAAGCTGCGGATGTAAGGAACACGATCATTATTAGCACACAAAATAACATATTTATTAGGTATTAGAAGAAAAAAAAAATATAGCGATGATTACAAGTGTTGTTTACTGTCTATTGTATAACGCTAGAAAAGAGTCATGCAAGGAGAGAATGTTTCTCCTTCTTTTTGGATCAAGTCCGATTCCAGTTAGCGGGGGTGAGGGGAAAATTAACATCAGAGGGGGCAGCTTCATCACTGTTGTTATCAATTGCTCCACAAAAAGCAGATATGGAAATAGTTTCAAACATTTCTGGAGTTTAGATACAGCCTCTAGTATAAGAGTATAATATCCTAATTCTTTACAATTACATAAAATGTTTCTTATAGTTACAAGTTGTTGAAATATCAGACATAGCCAGACAGACTTAGTACTTTAAAAAAAAGGGCAAAAATTAAAATAAAAAAATTAAGAGTTAATTTTTTTATTATTATTATAGTCTATTTTGTTATTCTTATAGTCTTGTTTTTATTATTCTTATAGTCTTCTGATTGGTAAAGTTAAAACACTATTAAGTATAAATAGAAGAAACTAAAATTAAAATTAGTAAGCATTGAGGACAAATAACCCCTTACCAAAACTAATCAAACAGCAATTAAATCAAAAGAGCAACAAATTTAAATTATTAATTAAGTTTTCATAAAAAATTAATATAGTAAGTTTTTCTCTTCAAAAGTTAAGAGATTAAACATTGTAACTTATTATTTGAAGTAAAATGCAATTACAATTAAAATCAATAAAATCTTTTGCACTTTTAAACCCTTCTTTGAGAACAACCAATAAATTCAAAGTAAAAATTAATATTTTTTAAAACTAGAAGCAAACAAGTTACATAACAGTGGCATAAATGGATAATCTTTCTGATTGGTATTGTTGATTTAAGATCATGTTAAGAGTGTCAGTTTAATATGATTCAGAGCATTTCAGATGTCTTTGTGACAGGCAGCAGTAGGTAGCCAATCCATGTGTTAAATTCTTATAAGCTTTGATTAATAAAATCATGCACGTCATTTTATTTATTTCTGTGATGTAGTGAGTAGTTACTGATATTATAGGAGTTGTTAAAATGGTGTCTATTTGCTTGCAAGAATTTTTGGTATGTTTTCATGAAATTACCTTTCACGAAGAAGCTCTTTTTTCAAAGTGTTTTAAATTGCTGTTCGCATGTTATCTTTTTTTTTTTTTTTTTTTTTTGAGATCATCAATAGTGTCAGGGTTGCTTTAATAGACTCTATTTAGGGTTCCTCACAGGGGTTCTTTTTTGATTTCCTATGCCTTGGCTAGCAGAAAGATGTTTACTGCTCTGACTGCTTAAGTGTTAGCTGACACAAAAACATTTGAAACGTGTTGTATCGGTTTATTGTGGTGTAATTTTAAAATTTTTTTTATGGGGAAAATATTATTACATAAAGATGTTTAAATATACAGATGTACAGTTATATTATATTAGCAATTATTCTGAAAAAGAACACCGCTGAAAGTATTTAAGTATTAACAGTTATATATATAAAGTGTGTAAATTTCAATGGCAATTGAACATCAATTCAATGGCAATGGCCAATTAATCAATTCAATGGCAACTGTACATGTGAAAATCTAGCTATGTGTCATCTTTTCAGGAAAGTAAGTGCAAGTGTCCAAAAAATATACTCACATTTTATGAGATCTATATTTAACTTTAATCAAGGTATGTATTGCTGTAAATACAGGAGTAATTAAATAAATTTTACATATTTGTATGTGTTCACTAATGCTCACATTGATTTCTATCATTTTCCAAACAATGGTGATAACATTGACAATGGTGATTGCATCAATATCCCATACCGTATCATGAAACTGGGACATATTGCCTCCAAATTTCACCTTTTAGTGCATTGATTGTCACTGACCTTTGGGACATAAACTTTGAGATATCTCCTTCCCCGAAAAGTCAATTTGTGTGAGATCTGAAGAGTGTGCAGGGAATTCAGCAGCACCTCTTCACCCAATCCATCTTAAAAAAGTGCTACATCAAGATAGGCCCTTACATCACAATGGAGATTGGATTTGCCCCATCTTCCTGGGGGAAAAAGTATAATTTCCAAACATCTCTTCATTGCATGGAACAAATGAACCCTGCAAACAATCAAAGTAACTCTCGCCAGTAACAGTTTGCTTCAAAACAAATGGTCTTAGCATGCTGAGTTGCTGATATTTGACACAACATTGTAGTTTCTGATGAGTTCAAATGATGTTCTGATGCAATATGTGGAATTTGATGATCTATATAACTACAGATGTGTCGGTTAGCTGATCAGTCTAACTTAAATGTAGCCTCAATGCTCCCAACAATCTTATCTGGAAATTTTATGTCTTCCTTGCATTTGCTGAGGTACCATTCACAAAATTCAACTCTCCAGTCAGGATCATCTTCATTAAGGATGTAAATCGATGCCTTTACCAATGACTTCATTTCAATATGCAAAGGATGGTTGATTTTGAAATTCCTATCTCGTTCGATTGTCGTATTGATTTTCATGGTATAGAAAAGTATTTCCAGTTTTCTCTTCTTGGAATGGTAGGTGTTTGAGGGCTTCTGGAATATAACTTATGAGTGTAGTTAAGAGTTCCTTTCAATTCAGACTTATCTCTAATGTTAGCAATGATATATCACATTGGGGTATCTTTCTTACCCTCTCTTCTAAATCTTCATATGTTATTAAATGTTAATCATAAGTTTGACAGTTTTGAATATTATTCTGATGTGTTTATAAAAACAAGTAAATGATGGGTCAATAATGAAAAGTCAGTTTTTTAGGGATACTCTGTATATTCAATAAAATGCATATTGATATTTTGTGCAATGCAGTTGTTCTGTGTTTATTTTAAGCACATGTCATAAAAAGCTATGATATAATATATATTTGTGCTAATATTATTACACAAATATATAGAACTTCAAACAAAATTATATAATTGCAGGCCAGTTGTTAATTTGAAAAATGAAGTGAACTCTGCCACTTGCTCAACACCTTCTGTGATACCTCAAAAGAGATCAAATGATGAAAACTCTTTATCTAGGAAAAAGTTAAAAAAACTCCAGCGAAATCCTGACAAACAGTTTGGTGCTAAAAAGCAAATGTTTGAGAAGTGCAATATTTGTTATAATCCTAAGGTAAAACTTTTGACAATTAATATATTTATTTTCACCTTCATTTTATAAGTATATGCAGTTGAACCCTACTATCTTAAAATTCAAGGAACTGTAACTTTTTTTTTTTGCTATATCCAATCTAATAAGAAAAATGTGGTTCATATCTGAAAATAGTATAAAAATTGATTGATGAATCATAAGAAAAGAGTGATTAGCACTGTTGCATTTCCCAAAAAAAGCTAATAATAGCTCTAATATCAAAAATCTTATTAAAAGTTAATTGCAGTTATTATTATGTGCAATTGCTAAATTTCTTTACCATCATTTTTCAGTTTCACCATGCTTTAATAATTTCACATGACAAATTAATTAGCATAAAAGTCATGGTTTTGATCTGTTTCTCCAATTAATCTTTCCATATAAAATACACATATATAATTACGACTTTTCATTTTATCCATAAAATATAAAAACACTAATCATGAATAACAAAAGATGAGGAATTTATGCTGGCATGATGCAGATTTTAGAAAATTTTCTTCTATATTTTTATTTAAAAAAAGAGAAGAGACCATAATTTTGAGTTCAACATAATTTGTGTATTGGATTTCTTCAACAAACAGTTTGTGTCTCAAACTGAATTAACTTAATTTTTTACACTCTAATTTTGATTGCTTTTCAGCCAAAGCTCAGTTTTGCTCCTCTGCAACCATTTTAATAATTCCACAAAAAGATTTATAAGCATTCTCAATTAAAGTTTTGATTGCGATAACTTTCGCTTCAGCTGGCACTCTTAGGCCTGTCTCTTCCCTGGTTATTTTCAAATCTTGTTTTTACCGTTTCTATTTCTTTGTCCTGAACAGGTCTTTACTTTTCTGTTGAAAAAATAGGTGATGTCGTTTGAAAAGGAATTAGGATTCTTCTCTTTACACTACAGAATATTTAATAATTATAACAGACAGTAAAATAAAACAGTTGTTTAGCACCTCCTCTCCCTAGTTTAACATAATGACATTTTGCATTGTTTGACATAATTACAGTCACTCGGTACCTTCTTATGCTCACTGAATTGGAACAAAAGTAAAAAGCCACCACCTTCATGTGGTTTGACCAGTCTTGTCATTACTATCACTGTCTTTCAGATAAGCAGGGAGTGTTCTCTATGTTGTATAGTGCCCTCTGGTGGCTGCAAAACTTAGTGCTCCCACATCTTTCTCTCTCTCTCTCTATATATATGTGCACGTTTGGTACTTCTGATTGCATTAAAAAAGGGAGGTGCACAACTAGATGTTTTAGCAGTTACATATACAAAACTGAAATTTTAATGTTCTATGGTTGATTGTCTTTGAGTTAATGGGAAATGCATACATACATATAGATGTCACAAAAATTCATTCCGTATCCATTTTACTATCTGTTTTGGAATAAATATTCCTTTATTCTGTCTGTATGAATTGACATCATGTAAAAAAGATAGTCAGAATGGATTTCGGACTGGTCAAAATGGATATTTCTGATGAAATGTGATAACCAAAGTTTTCGTGATTACAGTACTTCCATTACTTTATACAAGAAAGTAAAAAATATATCTTCTCACAATTAGTATTACATAAGTTATTAATTTTCAAAGTAGCTTTGGACTTTAAAGCCACCATGATAATTTTCATATTTTTAAAAATATTATTGAGCAAAAAGTAAATTTTGGAATTAAACAAATTTTTTGAATTGCTTCTTTGCATGTTCTTATAATTGGTTAAGCCGACACATTATATTTCCTTCTCTTCATTTTGCCTCAAAACACTTTGTGCCTACTTTTGTTACATATATTTTTGTTCATGATTAGAGAGCAGAAAGAGATGCAGATAAGCAGTGAATATGCTAATATTAGACCCCTCCCAAAACATGATGTTCTATCCATAGCAGTTAGGTAATGATTATGCTATTTAGGTATGCATTTGCAAGGTATATAAGAATATTTGCTTTATGTAGTTGATATTTTGTCACTGTCCTTCATGTGTTATGTCTGTGGATCTGCACATGCTTTTCTGCAGTGTGTTCTGAACAGCTGCTTGATGATATTTGATACCATTACAAAAGTGGCCAATAATAGGGCTACAAATTCTTTTCAGTGCTAAGTCATGATTTGATTTAACTATTTATTCTCATTGTACATTCACTTGAAGAAAAAGAGAAAAGTATATTTCATCTAATATTTTAGAAAGGAATGATTACAGAAGAAATATTTTGTTAAGCAATTATGGTTAAATAATGAATGATTTTCACATATCCAAAAGATTTTGTAATTACGTAAAGTTTAAAAGATTAAATACATAGTGTCCATAAGTATTGTCCTTAATGTGGCTTTAATTTTTGCATTTTCTGGTTATAGACATATACCTCCATGTGTAAAAATGCTTTAAATAGGTAAAAGATTCGTGTTATTGCATTTTTAAATTTAAAAAAAAATTATTCTGTAAAAATAATGAAATCTAATATTTAAATGTTCCTCTTTAGTCCTTTTAGTTTTATTTTCTAAAAGTTTATATTCACTCTGAGGGGGAAAAAAAAAAAGAAAAGAAGAAGAAGAAGATAGAGACATTAAAAAAAAAAAATAAATTGCCCAAAATAATTTATTTTAAAGTTTGAGATCATGTTTAAACATAATTTAAAGAGTAAAATATTTGAATTTGTACATAATTTGTGATAGCTTCTGAATAAATGAAAAATAAGTATTCATTTAGGAAAATCTTTCTGATGTGTATAGATTTCACTGCTAGGCAGACTGTTGTGAAATATTATGATAAAATTTTCCCAGAAGGAAAGTGTTATTCACAGAATCTTACAGAGTTTTAAAAAACAGTGGAATGCGTATAACTAATTCATAACATTATTTGCATAAACTGTAAAATATATATATATATTCTAGGACAATGATTTTGTGTGCAAGTACTAAAACTGCATCTGAATAATATTAATGTATTCTTAGCATTTTAAAAACTTATAAAATGTTTCTGCAAAAGCGCTTTTAGCATACGTTATGAAATAAAATCATAAATTAAAGAATATTATGTACTAGCTAATCACAAAAGAATATTACTTAATGACATTAATGGAGGGAAAAAAATCAACCACAAGTTATTTTATTTTTTAACTAATCCCCTCAAGGAGAGCCCAGAAAAGATGGCAAAAATGACAAATTCTGAAAATTGAATATTTTAGTCAGTTTTTATTATGCAGGAATCTTAATTTTTTGTGTTTATTTTTTGTTGTATAATAAATATAGCTATGAGAATCAGATAACTATATAAAAAGTTAGACTTTGTGTTTTTAACAAAATTGAATTTTGAAATTTAAAAATGCCAAAATATGAATATTTGCAACATTTAAAATATTCTGTAGCCAGGTGCAAGTGATAAATCGCCAAATAGTATTTCAGTTGGCATCATCAATATTGAAACCATTTCCCATCATTTTCTGTGTATGTGTTACAAATACTTCTTTGAGGTTTAAGTTAAATATTTTTTAGTTTATGGCATTATTTCTCATTAAAACATTATTTCTTTTTTGCAGTTAAAATAAAATGAATTAAAGTTATTGGTGTTTTATTTTTTAAATATATTTTTATTTTCTCTACTATAGATGTTTAAATTTTTTAAGGTAGTAAGGTGTACCATCAATAAAATGAAAAACATCTGTTGGTGACATCCATAGTTGACTAAAGGAAAATTACTCCTTTTTATAATTGAAAGTATATATCTATGAACTGTGGTTGCAAAAAATAAAGGCCACATAATGACCTGTATGGATATGATTTTAAGAGTTCATATTTAATAATTTTTAACAATAGCTGTACAAACTCTCTGTTGATTATATCATCCTATTTACTTGAATTCATTAAAAATAAAGATATTTCTTTATTTCCTAGCTTTTCATCATCTATTCCATGCAACAGTCCAAATGAGCACTGTCTGACATACTTTTTGCCAATACTATACTTATATTGTTTGGAAATTGTGAGTGATACATATAAAAGTGTTTGGGTAATTTCAATAAATACTAATTGACAGTCTTGCAAGTTGCACAAAGATACATATAAAAATTTTAATCATTTCAGGAATTGGCAGTCATGTAAATTGTACATGTTTTATGAATCAAATCTCAAATTTTACAGGGTGTCACTGAGAGATACAGAGGAAATTGAATATAAATGGTAATTCAGAATTTTATGAAAAAAATCTATAAGAAATTTTGAGTTCCTCTTGTTTCCATTTATTTACATCATATAAATTAATTGCAAATTTTCTGAATGTGGTGGTTTTACTTTATTTGGAATTTCTGTCATCATGCAACAATAAAATGGTATTAATGCAATTAAGCTGGCTATTTAATGATGTTTACTTTTCTAAATTATCTTCTAATTTTTTTATCTCAGCATAGAAGGTATTACATTAAAAATATTTGTTCTTGAAATCATAAGATAATATTTTCTGTACTGATTTTTAGTTGAATGATGTGTTTGGTACTTTTTACTGCATTTATATAATTAGGGTTTAAAAGGTATGTATTATTTTAATATTTACTCATTTTACCTAAGGGTACAAAATGTGCATATCAACTGTGTAAAGCTTGCTGTAGAGAAAAAACTTGTAAGCAAAAGCTGGACTGCAAAGGTAAATTAAAGTTTTTATTATTGATGTTATTTAAAACTGCTAGAACAGTGTTAAACGTATAGTTAATTTTATCTCTCTGTTAACTTACACGAATGTCTAACCTAGACTTGCCAACTCTCCTGATTTCCAACTTTACTTCCGCCAACCCGATTTTTAACATATTTCACCGGACTTTCTCTTAGTCTTAAAATTTCTCATGATTTGTATGTAGCTTGGCTTAATACTTTGTTATTTGCCCCACAAAAAGTGATTTTTGGCATCTGAAAGCACCTGTTTTTCTCTAGATACATATAATAAAACACTGAAGTCATTTCATCACTGAGATATGGTGCATGTCTGCTTTGTGTATGAGAATCCAAAACGTGTCCAAAAACGTGTTCCAGTTCTCCAATGAGAATAAAATGCCACTACAGGTCATTAGCCAATGAGCACAAAGCAAGATCGAGTTTGTTAATTTAGTTGGTCTTGCGATGCCTTGGTGAACCGAACGTTCAGTTTTAATGGGCACCCAGTTAGAAACCTATCCCAGTGTAGCAACATTTTCCCATTTTTTGAATGTTGTCGAGCACAGTAGAGGAATAAAGATATAAAAAGTCCTTGAAGTAATGGATAAAAGTAGTTAATGTTGTTGACAGGAGTTCTGAAATGAGCACAGAGGCAAGAATCGACAGATATTCACATTTGAAGGCTAGCGGTAGTTGAGTGCGTAGCTGGGTCAGGCTGGAAGAGAGCTTAGGCAGAGCAGCATACATGGTGCCATCTATTGACCACCATTCCAGAAAGATCTTAGGCCTGGGAAGGAGTGAGTACAATCTTCAGCCAAGGAGAAGAAAGGTGATTGGTGGGCAAGAGATCCTCAGTGTTCTGGGAGGGGCCTCTTTTCATTGCCATTCAATTTTGGAGGGATAGCCAAAAGTGAGAGGTAGGGGTAGGGAGGGATTATCCAGGTAGATGAAAGTTTAGAGTTAAGATATTAATTTATGGTTTAAATTGAAGAAAAATTAATTAGGAGATGAGTTCTAGAGTTAATTGCTGTTTGAGTTATTTAATTCTTTGAACATTAAGAATAATATGTACACTTTTTCCATAATTGTGTTTGCATTTCAGAGCTCACTTAGTTTTTGGTTGATTAATTTAGAAAATTGTATGCTAAAAATTGATGCAAGTTCTTTGATCGTATTGAAGAATTCAAGGAAGGCTGAAGGAGAGTTACTTGGAGAATTTTGTGCGTGATATGATTTGAATGTGGTGGGGGTAAGGTTAGGCTGATTTGAATTGGCTTCTGGCTGCTGAGATTTTGGTTTCTGTGAAATATTTGAGATTGCTTCGGAGTAAGATTTTATGGGTTGATTTGAGTTAGTTGTTCTAGGTTTGGGGAATTTTAAACATGCACGATAAGAAGCTGGGTGAGAATTACTACAGTTTACACAGACTGGGTTTTCTATAAATCCTTTTTTGTGGCAAAGTGTAGTTTTGTGATCTCCTGCACATTTCACGCAGCGCTGTACTAGAAAACAATTTTCGGACGAGTGATGCCATTTTTGGCAGTTATGACACTGTGGGATAAGGTTTTTATTTATGTATTTTTGTATTTGCATTATGAACAGTGAGAAATGTATGATATGATAAATTGTGTGGATATTGGGTGTAGGGAAGAGATGTGCTTGAGAAAGTGGGTTGGCATGTAGGTATTCGTGTCATTTGAACTACTTTGTGAACTGTGTAGCCTAGGTCTGTGAGAATGTCACTAATTTCTGTGGTGTCCATGTCGATAGGTAGTCCTCCAATTTCAACTTTAATTAGTGTTTTGTGTTGTGCATTGATGAGGTAATGCTCAACTGAGTGATTTTTGAGATCAGTGGTGAATGTACTGTGGTTATCAGAGATGTTTGGAAAAGCTTTGAGAAATTCTCCACTAACTTTACTGAAAAATTTTGTTGAAGATTGAATGGCAAGTTGTCTTAAGTAGACATTTTGTTAGATGGAGGAGGAGCTATATTTTCTTGCCTATATTTTACTCCAAGTTTTATAGCTACAAATCTGTTACTTTTATTGCTTTTTGAGTGTGGTTATAGAGATTTTTTTCAAAGTATAATTTGTATGGCATCATGTTTGCTAATTTTGTTTGGATTATCATATATTACATAACTAAAATATCATAAAATATACATGTTAGACTTACAGAGTCAGTAAAAAATACTCATAATCATTGTTTTAGGCATTTAAATATCCTTAACTGAGAATTCTTTACATTTTCATTCTTTTGTATCTTCATATGGCCATTTTATAATTTTTGAATATTTTGTTTATTTCCTAGGACATCGATTTTCCTTTAATAAAAACAAATCATCAAATCATATGAATAATGATGGTATCACAATAAATAAGGATATGGATATTTCCAGAAGTAAAGATGATTGCCAAGGAGCTGTTACAGTAGCACATTTATGACTAAATTGTGTTTGATTCTGTTTTTGATATGCTTTATTTTATTAAGACAAAATGTTATTAAAAGACTTGATAACTATTTTATAAATGCATCTTTAAAATTGATTGTCCTGTATTAAATTTAACTGTTTTGCATTAAAAAGATTATCACTTTGTAGTGGGGGAGCTCTTGCAGTTTGTAACCTGATAGTTTTAAATAAAATTAGAAAAAATAATAGCATTCAAAAAAACAACTTGCATCACAATGGTATCATATGATATGATGCATAATGCTTACATTATATGGGCATATGCTTACATTATATAGGAATATGTATTTTTATACCAAGTTTTTACTTTAATGAAAGAGTACATACATTGTAGAAGTAACAAAATTGTAACACCAGAAGTAGCAGGTATTTTTTAATATGTGCTAATTGGAGCCATTATCTTAAATGCCATTATCATTCAAGCAGCAGTTTCTGTATACTCTTATTTGAGAAATTAATTTTGCTGTTATATTTTACGCATGCTTTGATCAGATTTTTTTCCCCAGCATTATTCACTTTGTATTGCTTTGTACAGAATGTTTAGCATGAATAAGTAGAAATAACTTATTCGCATTAAACAAAATAAAACAAAAATTCTGAAAGGTTCTAAAGGGGCGTTTTTTTAACGTTTTGTGTGTTACCTTTATTTATTAAATATCATATTCTACATACTCAAACTATAAAATTCAGTTCAACGGCAATTTCACAAATTAATTTTAAAATGAGTATATTTTTAGAATTTCCCTTACAGAGTCGCACGCTGGAGATAAAAATGTTATTTTTCCGTATAGTGTTGCTATTGCTCGCTTTGAAATCATTTAGTTTTTTTAATAAAAAATTCGTTGAAGTGTTACAAAATCTGAAATCAATAATAAAACAAATTTCAAATTCAAATTAGGACTTCCACAGGCCCATATTCTATGGAAGATTATGTTATTCAAATTTTGATGGCTCTAGGTACCATTATTTTATCACAATGCGAGAAACATACATACATTTATTCTTCATGATACAGATTCTTCATGATTTTATTACTTTAAATGTAAGACAGGGTGATAATATATGGTGGCAATGGTTTGTAAAGTGATACAGCCTTTTAAAGTTTTCAATGCAAAATGCCAAAACGAAATTTATAGTCCTTCAGGGGAAATTGCCTCTTTAGACTAAAAAGGGAATACAAAAAGACACATACACACTTATGATGCTAAAATTGGTAATTTATGTTTTATAGTTGTTTTTGCATGTTGTTTACTCAGTCAATTAAAATTTGAATGTTAAATCTAAAAGGCCATAAAAAAGACTTCACAGATGTTCATTATATATGAAAGGTGAATCTGATATTCTGTTCTCTGTGTAGCCCATAAGGTATTTTCTTCACCGTCGTAGTGTAATGGTCACTTTCCTTTTCACCTTCGTGGTTTAATGGTTAGCACACTCGGCACGTATTTGAGAGGTCCAAGTCATTTTTAGTGTTTCCAGCTTCAAAATAACATAATGACTCTCTCTCTAAACCTCATTCTATAATAAAAATACAGCCTTTTCTAATCATATTTTTCTGCATTCGGTATTTAAAATATGTTGACAGCTTAATTTTATTTACAACTGAAAAATGTGCATTTATATATTTATTTCTGTTTTTGTTTTAAAGTAACATTTTAGATTGTTCATGAGAAAGTGTAAAAAAGTTTGTTCATAGATTTTGACAATTTGAAATCTTTCCTGTGTATCTGCATTTATTCCTCAGTTTCTAAGAAGTACAAATAAATAATTCTAGTAGAACTATTGTATAATTTGATTTATAAACAAGTTCAAATGAATTTTCATGTAATTGCAAATGTTAATATGTCATTTGATTTCTTAATAGTTTTTATTGCATTTAAAAATAATTTTCATGGAACTAGTGCTGTTTCAGCTGTAGGATATGACTAGTGTAGCATAATTGTACTATTTTCTATGCTTAATAATATATTGTTTCATCTTCTCAGATATAGTAGAATAAGAAAGTTTTAAACAGTTCTTGAATTCTAAACAAATTTGTCTCACAGAATTGATTCCAGAAAAATAAATGTATTTGATAAGTAAAATAAATATGCTGCTTGGTAGTGAGAAAATTGAATAAATACTGTTTAACAACAAAATGAAAATAATTGACGAACATATACGATTTTAAATTAGATTCAACTAGTTAGTCAATTTTTAATGGAGTCAGTTTTGAATTTTTCTTAAAAGCTAATCCTTTCTTTACTTTTCTGTATTGTGAATGTGTGAAACTTCATAAAGTAATGTTTGCAAGACCTTATAAGAAATATTGCTGTAAAATTTTATGGTTTTATTTGTGACTGTTTGGGAATTATGACTCATAATTCTGTCATCTACCAAGATATCATTAGCAAAGTATTCAAACTGGACTTAGAATTGATTATACTGTATATTATATAAAATCCTGCATTTAATAAATTTTTCATGATTTTCCCATTTATACACATACTGACATCTATTAATATGTAGATAGAGGGTTAAAAAGTCAGCATAGTAATATTTATGTGTCTATAATAATAAAATTCTTTTGGTTTATGTTTATTTTCTTTTCTCATGTATATTTAGTAAAGTATATCATATCATTCAACAAGTGGTGAGCTTTGAATGTGGAAATTAATTGGCAAAAGTGAAAATGCATGCAAGATGAGTTTCAAAAATTTATTGTACATTTTGTAACCCATGTAAATTAAAATATGACTAAAACTTTTTAAATAATGTCTTGCATAAACTTTTGTCTGTTAAACTACATTTTTGGAAGTCATTTATATCCATGTTCATTTTATTTGGTAGACCTTTTTTTAGCTGTGTGAATGTGGCTTCTCATTGAAAATTCAACAAATGGCCAATTACCTGCTGCACAGATTATTTGTGCATTGTTAGAAAATCTTTCGAGATTGATATGCGAAGAAGCTAAAAAAGTCCCCCCCCCCTCTCCATGATAGTTTTTAGTGCATCAGCTTTCATTTGTAAGGTACGGTAGAAGTTTAAAGCTCATAAGTGTTAATCATAATTTCATCAATGATCTCTAATGAATATAAAAATATAAAATTGAGATGATTCTACTGAAAAAGAAATAACATTATTGGATCCTGGTGAAATCAGTTCTAGTGCCCAGAAAAAGACAGGAATGATGCTGGTAAGATGATTTTTATCAGATCAAGTGATGCAATAGGAGTCAGTAGAAGAACTTGAGGAATAAAGTCAAAAATGTAGTAGTAAGGATCAGTTAACAGTCCAGCCACCAGTTGTGGACTGAAAGCAGGGCAGGAAAATTTATTTCCATTTTAGGAGAGAAAGGAGTATTTGTAAAACTTCCTTTCCCATGGAAACATTGACATATTTACTTTATTATATACTAGAAACATTTAAAATTTTTTTTTTTTTGGGGGGGAGGGCTGTGCTGTTTTGTTGTTTGTAAGATGTGTAATGTTAAGAGACTGTAAAATACATTAAAAAATATCAATTTCACAACACTAAACATAAAGGCCCAAATGTTGGTGTGTGGTTATAATACAGGTCTCCTGAGGTTATCAAAACTCCTCCCTATTCTTCTGATTTAAAATATGTAAACTGTTAAACATGTATAGAGTGAGATGGAGGAAAGAATAAGGAAGCATGATATTTCTTTAAAAGTTCTTAAAAGCAAATTTTATGGAGGAATGGACCAAAATGGAATATTGACTTGGAAAAATCAGTTTAATCTTCAGAAAAGGCGTAATTTTAGCAAAAGAATAGCCAACAAAATATTGAATGACCCATTATTTCAAATGTTTATTTTGAATATAAGCTGCTTATTCAAAATGTCCAAATACTCATGTAAGCTCATTTTCAAAACTTTTAGAATAAATTATTCTATTTCCCAAAACACTTATGAACAATTTTTTTGAAAACAAGCAAGTTTAATAAAAAGGGATTGACAATATATATGGAATAAAAACATTTATTTATTATAAAGTCATTTTATTCATATTTATTAACTGATATTTGTGAATAAAATTGAAAAGCACAAGTGTCTGAAAACAAATGTGAGCCATTGTAACATTTGTTTTTTTCCCCCTTTTAATTACAACAGTATTTAGGATTATTTAAATTATATATACTTTTTTAATCTTGGTAACTTAACACATTTTTTCTATTCCAGGTTAATGCGATTTTGACGTATACTCAAGATACAGAGAGTATTTACACATTTCGAGAACTATTTCAGGGCCGTTTAATAAATATTTAAAACGTAAAAATAATTTTTTTTTTAAATGTTCCTCTTGATAAGCTTTTTTTTTTTTTGGACTACAATTCTGCATCGTTAATTTCTATGATAGAAGAACTTTTATTAAAATTTCCAGAGCTATATTGATTTCCATTCACCTTTTGCTACAAATTCCATCAGTCATGGTGAGTGTGCATTTAGAAAGAGCACTTTTCAAGAGACCCGCGGTACAATAAAGGCCCGTTTCCACTGCTGCGTATGCGTTGCGGTGCGTTTCTCCAATCAGCGAGCGAATTCACTTTGATTGGCATCTGCAATCCGGTCGGTGTGCGGTGACGGATGACATACGGATGGAGTTCAACAATGGTCAACTTCTATCCGTATGTCTGCGGATGCGTTGGGGTCACGTGGTAAAAAAGGAGCAATCAGGTGCAGTGACTAAAAATTAATGGCGGCAGAAGTAGCGATGAACGCTCGCTAATAGGGAAAGAATGTTTTGCTAAAAAATGCTTATTTCTGAACTAACATTATAGCGAGAAATCTGGGTGCTGAAAATGACAGCAATCAGCTGAATTTAGTTAAAAAAAGATAAGAAAAACAAGATAACTGCAACTACAGTACTTGTTCGTTCAGGAAATTCAGTTCAAGAAAATCAGTGCAAAAATTATAATTCCAAATCCATGAAATAGCAAAACTTGTTCTGATAATCATTTTTTAGTTCTGCATACTCATTTAGCTTTAATGAAAATGAATGTCTGACTGTATCAAACTGCTATAGCAAATTAGATAGGATTAAAAGATTTGCTATTTTTTTCTTTTGAAACAGGTTAAAAACTAAAAACGTTAATTATAAATTAAATTTGATAGCCTTTTAAATACTCCAGTTCATTGAAGAGTATGTTAAATTTGTATTTCCCTTTATAAATATATCTTTTTGGATAACATATATTTGTAA